GGGGGTGTCCTCATGGTCTCGTGGATGCAAGTGGGCGGAGCAAGCCGGACAGAGCAGGGTGCAGCCACCTGCGTCAGACCACAAGTCCAAACTGGTGGCCAGTTTTAGGTATCGCTTGTCTTTATTTCAGCTACATGACTCAGTTATTCCTAAGAAGCCATGAGGGATTATGACTGGCCTGACATACAAAGAACTTGATTTAAGACCAGAATTTTAGTTTTAACTTATGACCAAAGTCTTGAGTTATGACTCAAATGCTAGCTGCTTATGCTTCCAGATGGTCTTAGATACAGATTTAACCCTTAAAGAGTCCTGGAAGGAACATTACAACATCTTTTCCTGTTGGGGGGTTGAGAAATTCAGGGCCAATGTCTCTCTAAGGACACTGAGATCTGCCTGGAAGAAAGTGTGGCCTAAAATTAGAGAGAAGAGAGACTCTGGAGGTAATTGACCAACTGGAGTTACAACCAGCACTCAGGAACAAATTAAGTTCATAAGTCACACATCCACTGTAGTTCTGTTCTTGGCTTCCACCTACTGCAGCTAATGTAAAGAAACTACTAGATGTTCCCAACTGAATTCCAGCTAACACAGGCCCTGTCGCAGTAAGGCCAATGTGCCTAGGTGCATGGCCACAGGCCAGCTCTATTCCACCAGACACTGATGGAGTGCATGGTCAGGGATTCAGGGGCATTGTCATTGTGCTCAAAGATAATGGCATTACTCACTCTTTCTCATCAATATAGCAAAGGTATCAGAGCAGCCACTCCAACAGGAGTCGCATAGTCGTGGCTTCCCTGGGAGCTGCTTATCTGCTGGTAAGGCCCTGAGAACCACAGGACCACACTAAAATTCCAACTCTGAGCCCAAAGCTGGGACTTCTTACTACTTCTACTAATAACAACTTCTATTCTGTGTGCTTTCTGTACCACAGGTACTGTCCCAGACACTTCACACAGTGTATCACCAATTCCTTAATTCATCTCCAAGGGGAGGATCATCTTTTCAATAAATTTTCTTTATTGAAGAATTCTATACATGAATAAAAGCATACAAATTATGAGCACACAATTTTATACTTCTTTATATAATGAATTCTACTACACAGACCTACCACTAGATCAAACCATAGGATACTTCCAGACTTCCAGGAGATATCCCTATGACCCCTTCTAATAACTCCTTTCTTCTGCCTAAAATTGTCTTGAAATCTAACAGCAGAGAGGAACTTACAGAAATGGAGTAAGATGATATGGTATGGCCTGTTATGTGCTAGATATGGTATGGCCTGATGTTATGTTTATGAGATCCATCCATTATTACTGCACCAGCAATCCTTTGTTCATTTTCATTGCTTTCTCATCATATAAATGTGCCACAGTTTATGCTGCTGTTAATGGCCACTTTGTGGCTATTATGAGTGATGCTGTGGGGGACATTCTTGCACATTTTCTTTGGAGAGAATGTGCATACATTTCTGCTAGGCTTATTCCTAGGTGTGGAATCACTGCATGTAGGATACCCTTGAGGAGATGCCAGTAAATATTTCTAAAGTGTATGAAGCAAAGATTCTTACTCTCATTAATGTGGAAGCTGAGGCTCAAAGACCTGATATAACTTGCCCAATGTTGCAGGGTTTAAGTGGAAGAGCTGAGATTCAAACCTTCTTCCTTTCATGTTATCTGAGGATCGAAGGAGAAATTCTAACACAGAGAAGCAGAAGTGTGAACACAGTACACTGCTCAAGTTCCAACCTTCAGAGAAAACTGCTTTTCAAAATATCTTGTATACTTTGCTGTTAAAAAGTCTCAGAGATAAGTGAAGTAGAAATCATGACTCATTTGCTAATAAAGAGAAGTAATGCTCTGAGAGTTTCCATTCACTATAGACAATACAGGCACTTTCCTGACTATTCAGGGTGAATTCAACTAGTGTGGGCCAAAGGTCATGACTGGAGCTGGAAAACCCCTTCACATATGAGGTTCAAAATATAAAAGGGTTGAAGCCTGCAAGTTAGGCCAGGAACCCTCTTTTATTTGGGCAGGTAGAACCAGGAGCCAGCTGACAGGAGCCTGCCCACCAGCAGCTTGCTCTCAACACAAGATTTTACATCTGCTCACAACAACCCAGTAATTGTACATTTGGCTCTACAAATGGACTCTTGAACCCTCAGCCAATGTATGTTGCCTAGAAGAAGGTCATTAGAAAACCCTTATTAACTGATTTAGAATATCCTGTCCCACAGAAAATTGGTAATCCTATTCCTGTCTACAAGACTGACAGAAGCTCTTCCTTCCTCCACCAATGTGTGCCTTCCTCTAGACCTTGTAAAAACCCTGCAACATCAAATAGGAGATCTCCACTGGAACACTTTGGCTAAAAAATACAACTGGTAATGAAAATGTGGTATTTGGATTAACTAAGTTCTTCCCTTTGTCTTTTCCCCTTCTTTTTCCTGGGAACCTGCTCATTTTCATTCTTGAACAGTTGTCTGTAACCAATTATTTTTAGTCAGCTTTTCAATGTCCTTTAAATAGGACTTAAGGAATTCGTGGTTTCCTCACTGTTTGCATTCTTCAGTTACTCTAAGATCTCTCTGAAGAGGATGAAAATAATCTATGTTCTGTCCATCTGGGACAGGCAACAGAAAATCATCCCAGGATGGAAGTTAACTCTAGAATGATTTGAGTAACAATCTGGTCCACTGAGGAAACTCTTGGAAGGTTTCAGTGACTGCCCTATATCCCCCATTGAGCTGATGTGTCTGCAGGAGAGTGAACAGATGGTTCCCTCATCTGGCTAGGAATTTGTTCAGCCTTTATATTTGAGAATCATACAGAAACTGCAGGCAAGATGCAGGAATCCCTGAAGAAATTAGGGTAACCTTGCATAGGAAGGTGGACAGAGAGCTCTATATTATCCACAAAGGGGCTCTAATTAGCACATTGTATTGCAAGGGTTGAAAGAGCATTTTATTTCTAGGGTTGGGGAGGGGGTGAATGTTGACTGTTCATCATGGTAGACCCATGTAAAAGGAAAGGAGGATATAAGAGGTTTACTTTATAAAAGGGCTGGAAGTCCAGCACCACTGTGACATAATACTCCCAGGGGACAGTGATGTTGGGCTTGGCTGAAAGGGTGGTATTGCTATCCACTGAAAGACCTCCTCTGCCCATGCTGGAGGTGAAGCCAGGTGTCCTCCCACTCCATGGGACTGTTAAAGGCAAAGACAGCGACCCCTACTGGTAAGAAAACATGCATTTCCTTTCAGAGCAGTATAAATCTCTATTTGGGGACAAGAATGGAAGGGGGAGCCCCAAGAGGAAATCCTGGGCTTCTTGCCAAGCTGACTCATGGTACCGTGAATTGGGGGTGATGTTCACACTGCTTATGTTTGAGCACTTACAGTAGCTCATAAAATTGGCCCAGAGTATTTTCCCTAGAAATGCTGTGGAATTTGTGCCTGGAAGATTCTCACAGTTCAAGTCTTCAGCGTCAAGACTTTCCACCTTCCTTTCAGTGGAGACTTTAAGCTAAAGTCTTGCTTCTCAGAGCATCTTCCAAGAACCAACAGTATTGATATCACCTGAAAACTTGTTAGAAATGCAGGTCTCAGACCCCAGCTCAGATTTATTGAATCAGAATCTGCATTTTTACCAAGATTTCTGTGTTAATCTGGGTTAAAATCCAGGAGGGTTGCACTAAACAAAGCAATGGACACACCCACAGGCTCTCAAAGACACTGTACCTTTCCCCCAGGCCTGGAGCCTGTGTTCTCTGAGACATGCTCCTGAAATTGAAAGACTAGCATTTTACCCACACCAAGAAGGAGAAGGGAGTCTCTTACTGCAAGCACTGGTATGACCCCAACTGCACTAAAGACATGTCGAGAGGGAAGAAATAAACTCCCAAGTCTATTGTTGCCCTTCTATGAGAAAGAACATCATGTTGTAGGGCTGCTCAAAGGCCAGTACAAAGCCGTGATCTGATGGTCAAGGTTTTGATAGCCTTGACTCTGTTACAGCCCAGGTTTGCTCACCTGGTCTAGAGGGGTGGGCCCACACCCCACAGTCCTCGGAGCCCTCCAGGGACTCTGTGTGCTTTCTCTTCTTGGTTGGAGGCAACGAATCTCTGCAATCAAGAAACCAAAAGGAACATTAGGATTCTCCTTTGCTCGGCCTGTTACATTAAATTGAATTTAACTTCCCAGGTCTCTGTTTTCTGCTTTCCTAAATCCAGCCCCAGCTAGTTAAGGTTACTGAAACCTTAACAGTCTGAAGCTTAGCCAATGAATTTGAGGTTTACCTACCTTAAAAAATAAACTGACATTTTCAAAAGCAGAAGACTCATTGAAACTGAAGATACAGACTTAAAAATATAGGTATACATGTTACACCCAAGAATGTTTTTACTGTGGAGTTTGGCCTCCATTTTTTTTTTTTTTTTGGTACGAGGGATCAAACTCTGGTCCTTGTGCTTGAGCAGCAGGCGGTGAAACCACTGAGCTAAATCCCCAGCCCTGGCCTCAATTTTTGATAGCCCTGACTAGTTTTTTCTACCTTTTGGATTCAGAAGGAGGAATAAACAGGAGAAAAGGAGGAGAGAAAAGAATTTGTTAATGCTTAATTGACAGTTTTCCAAGAGCTCGTTCCCAAATTTCCTTGTGTCATCTGGCCTACGTGCATGAGCAAACACGGTTTGCCTCTATCGCCTGGAATCTTCCTACACTTCTGACATTTTACTTTTTGTTGAATGAGCACCTTGGATTTAGTGGAGTTTTAATTAAGAGATTGTCTAAGCCAAGAACGCTGGGATCCCGCCATGTCCTATTCGCGTCTCAATACTGCCATCTCCTGGGCAGGCTCCCACTGCCGTTCTCCCTACGTCACTACCGGGGTTCTGACTGCTCTGAGGCTTCCTACCAGGTCTTTTAGAACTAATTATCCTGCCCTTTACCCAGGCGTGTGGCACAAAGGCTCCTGGTGGTAAGAACAACTTATCCCCAAATGGGAGGACCCGGATTGATCCAGGAGGTTGGCGGGATGACTGGTGTTTGGGTAGCAGTTGTGAAAGCTGCCATGGGTTTGGCCCGAGTTGCTCATTCCAGACATGCTCTGCTGCAGGTTCATGGACAGCATCCCAAGGGCTGCTGCGGAGTGGAGAAAAGCAGCTGGACTCCTTCCAGTTGTAGCCCTCGGGGTCCGGAAGCTTGTACCTGGTGGAAGACGAAAGCCAGAAGTACCTCTATTTCTCACCACTCAGAATCCAGAGAGTAACAATACAAGACGTGCTGACGGTGGATTGCACTCACCTTTGACCTGTGGAGGGGAGCATGAATCTGATGCAGAATAGGGAGGGGTATCTGGGAGCCGGCGTTGCCTGTGGATTACAGACACGGATTTTTTTTTTTTTTTACTCTATTCCATCATACATTTATCACAAATAGGAGGAAGCCTTCAGTGTACAGCACCCTCAGTGATGGTTTCAGATGCTGAGGGGTGGGGAGCAAAGCCCATCAGACCACAGCCAGTGTCCTGTCATGGCTCCATGATTGGGCTTTGAGTCCCAACTCCTTCACTTCCTAGCTATGCTTCCATGAACAAATAACCTCTCCAGGCCTCCATCTCCCCACTGACAAAACAGCAATAATTACTATACCGACTTCAAAGCATCTTGGCAAGAATTGAGATAATGTCCATATAAGCCCACAACATACTGTTTCCAACACTGTGAGTGCTCAATAAAGTTTAATTAATACTGTTATTGTTCTTAAAATTCTTACACCAGAGAGACAGTTCTACATATGATTTGAGCTAAGGTTATACAAAATGCTGTTGCTAAAGTAATGGTTTTCCATCTCTGAATCCTCTCGGGTATCCCTAGCTCTTGGAAGGAGCTCAAAAGTACAAAAGAACATTTTTAATGCCCGGAGGAAAATAACATTTTTCTGTTTTATATGTTCAGGTGCCAGCAAAATTTCATTTTAAGAAATGAGTAGTCCAATCAAAAAATTTCCCAAAAAGCCTGTGACACTGGGATCACATAAAACCTCTAAATACAAGGGTAAGAATAGGGCTGAAAATAGGGTTAGTTGAAGGTTCAATTAAGAAACAATCAAACCATTATATCAACTTCCCCACCTGTCACCCCAAAAGAAGTGAAATGGAACCAGGGACATTGTTATACAAGGTTACAAGGCATAGTTAAGGCCATTGGTAAGCGGCTGGCCTGAACATGGAAGGATGCATTAGAAATCTAAATGCTCAGCTGTGGTATCTCCCTCAACTCTGCTTTGAATAAAACCAAACCAATATTTCATGAATAAGAAATTAGAGCATTGTTCCCAAGAAAGCTTACATGTACTAAAGGGCAAAAGGGATACAAAATGTTGACGTTACCAAGGAAATAGTTTGTCCCTGTCTGATCACTTTACAGTGAAATTCACCTTTTAAGAATAAAGGTTTGGATGTACATTGAGGCCATACTCTTAAGTAAAATGAACAGGACACACATGTGTAAATAATGATAGTTTCGCTGGTGTGAGAAACTGAAAGTGTAAATGAGGACAAAAATGTATAATAGATAATGTGAAATAGGAAGAAAAGGTCCAAAGAGAAAGGGGAAGGGGAAGTGAGGAGAGTTAGGGGAAAAGAAAGAAGGGGAAAAAAATACAGGAAAGGGAGAAAATGGAAACAAAGTCTTTGTAAATAGGGAGGGGCAGAGGTGTTGAAGGGAGGGCAGGGGAATGGGGAAAACATAAGAACCAAAATACATCATGTACAGGTACAAATTTCCAATGACGAATGTCATCATATTGTATACCTAAAATCTACCAATAAACTTATAGAATAAAAAAAGATATTAGGCAGAGCAGAGAGCCACAGCTCCCAGTCAGCCATGCTCTAACAAGGGAAATCACCCATACTTTACAGCATACAGTGTGGGTGAGCGATCTTTGGTTGGGTGTATTAAATGTGTTTTCAACTTATGATATTTCCAATTTTCAATGTGTTTATAGGGACATAACCCTATTGTAAATAAGAAATGGAATATACAGTACTTAGTGATTAGATTTAACATTGTAGGGTGGGAAGAAGGGAAAGAAGGAAGGAAGGAGAGAGAGAGAGGAAGAAGGAGGAGGAGGAAGAAGAAGGAGGAGGAGAAGAGGAGGAGGAAGAGGAAGAAGAAAAAGAAGAAGAGGAGGAGGAAGAGGAGGATGGGGTGGGGGATGAGAGGGGAGGGCAGGGAGGGGAGGGTCCAAGTTGAGCCGAGCTGAGCCAAGAAAAGAAAAAACAAAAAGAAGAGAAAAAGTGAGATAAAAGAGAAGAAGTTAAGGACGATGTTCAGCTTTCTGACTCAGCAAGCAAGTGCATAGTGCCATTATATACTAAAAGAGGCAACACAGGAGTAGGAACATATCTGGATAGAAATAGGATAGCTTCAGACATAGTGAGTACATAAATACTTCATGCATCCAAATGAAGAGGTCCAGTAAGGAGTAGGTTATAGGAGTTTGAAAGTTAGGAGGCAGATCTGAGCTAAAATTAGCTGTGGAAACCACTAACAGAGAGAAGGTAATTACAGCTATGGAAATGGATGAGATAATCCAGGGAAATGTACTATAGAGGCAGGCCAAGGACAATTGGGATGCAAGAAGTATGGACAGTTTGGTTGGCCTGTGGACATTTAATTAAAGAAACAAAAGGAGTAGGTTGGCAACATGACAATAGCTAAAGAATCAAAATCTTAGACCCAAGCTGGCACTGGCTCAGCTGAGAAAAATCAGCAGACCTGTGGTAGGTAACAGGAGGAGTGCCCACCCATTCTGTTCTTGTCTGTAGTTTCCAGGTTCAGTCTGCCACCTTCACAAAGACTACATTCATCCAAAATAAATAAAAATCAGTTAAAAAGAATAATGGCGTGGATGTAGAATTTCTTAAACAGGAACAATGAAATACCAGATATTATCAGAAAGCCTTTAAAATTTAAAGACAGAGCAAACAACTAGATAAGAAATACACAAAAATCACCAACCACTCTTCTGCTTCTAATGCAACTGATCTCTTATATGACTGACTCTACCAAACCTGACTTTCCCACAGATAAAAACTCTAAACTCTGTGTATAAAAATCTCACCCAAAAACGCTGGAAAGTAGACAAAAGAAACAAGATTCTGGAAGAGCACAGAAAGGTAGGAAGATAATATCAGACTGTGAGTTACCTGTCCTCAGTGTTCAACCTGAAAGGCTGATCAAAGTCAAAGCATCTGAAACCATCTGAAGAGACCATCTGAAACTCCAATAAAAATCCAGTCCTTCTGCCTTGAACAACCGGAAAAGAATGTGGGATAAACATAGCTGCTCAAAACTGAAGGGAGAGCCAATCCCAGCACCCGGAAGGAAGTTCCCCCTCCTCCATCCCAGGCTCCTAGGGCAGTGAAGCTCAGTCGGTCCCAGCACCCAGAAGGAAGCTCCCCTGCTGCCATCCCAAGCTCCTAGGGCACAGAAGGTGAGCCGTGTGGGCGCCAGAAGCACTTGCCCCCCCCCATCCCCCTGTGGAAAAATGAAATCAGAAATAATTACTCAGATAACAGCAAAGATTTTGCTCATGGTGCAAGACATGATTAATAAATCTAGAGAGGGCACAGATAAAAAAGTAGAGGATCTGAGGAACATGATGGAATCACAACATAGGAAACAAATGGAATCCATAAAACA